TTCAAATCGCATGTATATTGTGTCAAGCCAACGTCATTTCACTCTAAATTAAAAATTTTGCTTTCAGTTTTTAAACATTATTATCGAAAATTTAAAACCATGGGATTCGTAGCCTAGAATTTTTTAGAAGTGAGACATTTTCTAACGTAAACTTAACACTTTTCTCCAGCATATTTCTTTCTTCGTAAATCCATGAATTTGTAAATTTCAGATGCTTTCCAATTTGGAAAATACTAAGGGGATCAACCCTGCTGAGGATCCAAAAAGATAGATTTGTTCCCAATAAGAGCAAAATATCGAGAAACTATTAAGAAAAGGCACAATATACAAGCGATTTGAAAGAAAGTTTAATTTTTCTCTAAAGATTACATCATGTATATCTGCAGATAGCAGAGACGCTAAAACCATGCGAACGAGACACCCATCGATTTTGAAATGTAAGAAAGCGTGAGGATGGGATGCTGAGCAACCTAATCAGAGTTTAGCCTCGATTTATCCCTAATGACTCTCACATTCACTTTTGATGATAGTGTCTCAAAATAGAGAATTCTATGCGTAATTGGAAAAATATTTAGATATTCACCTTCAGTATTAATTTGATTTAAATTAATTCAAAATGGTCTTCCTCAAGAGGAATCAATTCATCTTCAGTTTTCCTAAAAAAAGTCGTCCCTACAGCTTCTACCTCGCTCCCCCGTTTCTAAAGATAAGAATAAAAGGTTAGATCAGTTGAACCTAGACGATTCACGCCGCCGTGTTAGAAATCGAACGCATTTCTCAGAATGTCAAACACTCTCAGCTTTAGTTAAAATGCTGATCATCGTCTCTACTTATACCGGTTGAGGCAAAATGAACGAGCGATAATGACAAGAATAGAAGACACCTTTTTCTTGAAATCTAAGGAGCTCTGAGGTGAATTTCATTATTCTCGCATGTGAACGGACAGTGACATATCCAACGACGGTGGTATAGATCGCCGAAAACTGTAAAAAACAAAATGTAAATCTGACTTTCGAAGTGTACACGGTAATCATTGTTTCTTCGCATAAACTGACTTCTGATACCCGTAAACTTTACTAGAATTTATACACTTTGTCGTTAGAGACACTTGATGTGAGTCATTCACTTCACTTCATACAAAAACCATATAAGTTAAGTGCTGAATTAGACAACTATCGAAATATGTTGAGTCAGTTTTAAAAATGACAATGCAGACGTATGAAGTTAAGTGTTCCCTAGGCGTAAATTGAAGAATAATAAAGAATAGTGAGTATACTTATGCAGATTATATTAATGTAATACACTGTCCCGAAATGTTACGGTAAATGTGTAACAATATCATGCTAAAAGTGTAGCAATGTTACGGTAAAAACTGGATGTCATGGTTTTACCGTAACATAGTCACACGTTTAGCATGATATTGTTACACGTTTAGCATGATATTGTTACACGTTTAGTATGACACAGAATAAAACATGACATTACTACACTTTTACCGTGTCACTAGTGTTACGCTTTATCCATGGCGCTGCCACACTTTTATCTTAGCATCATCTCCAGCATGACATTTCTACACTTTTGGCGTGGTAGTGTCATACTTTTAACTTAGCCGTTGTAAAGCTCCTTTGTTTTATTATGACTCATCTCTGCTTGTTGCTGGTTAATCTAATGTTATGTTATTTACAGTTTATGTTGTGTTTTTATGTCAACATTATGAGTTTTTTTGCAGTGAATTTATTTTTTATTTTTTGTATGGTCATTTTTTTCTATGGAATGTGAATGCAGTGATTCAGTGTAATACATGTCGTAGAAAAGTTTTGAAAACGCGAGAGTGTTTCCGAGACACTGAAGATTGATCATTGACTGCTCGTTTATTTCAAGCTGATATGGAACTATAGTTCCATAGTGAAATTTTATGAAATCTTTTGATATGATCTTGTAAGATGGATCTGGGTATTTGATTTTAAACTTTTTGTATTTATTTTGTACGATTATTCGGATGTTTTATTATTTAGATTATTTTTATATTATTGTTTTATTATTTAGATTATTTTCTGTTGTTTTATTTTTTTAATCTTTTTAGTATGTGTTAGGATAAATGAAAAAATAATAAAACCTAAAAGAAAATGGAAACGCACATCATCTTAGACTTCAATATAAATTGTATTTTCTTTTTTCTTTCTTTTGACTAATCTCATGTATTCTCGTCTACCTTTAGTTGAAGCATGACGTGTTCTTTTTCTGATGCCAATAGCTCTAAGAACGACCGAAGCTATAAAGCCATGGTACGCACAAATTCATGTCCCTTGATATGGTCGATTGATATGGTATTATAATAGCGTCATGTAAACTACAAAATCGTAATTTAGTACAAAATGGAGCATTAGTGGCATTGAATATCATTTTGATTATGAGCGATGGTAAGTTAATCATTCAACTTCACTATAATTATTTTTAAAAATTCAATTGATCTTTTTCTTAGAAAATGTGCGACAAAAACTAACTGAAGCCAATTTTCATGAGAGTGTAAAACAACTTTTAAATCAAGATATTCAACATGATGAAGTAATTAACAATATCGTACAAATGATTCATTTAGCTCAAAAATAAGGTAAGAAAAAAATTATATATACCTGTAATTTTTAAAAATTGAGACGATTTATTTATGGTTTGTTTTAGATCAATTTCTTACCAGTGAACAAATTCATGAATATGGACCTTTATTATAAAAGCTTCGTGCGAGTCAAAACTCTTCTAAAGACGTTTAATCGATGGAATAATTTATTTGTTATTTTGCATGTGTTATATTTTTTTATGTTATTTTGTTGTTGTTTTTTTAATTTTTTTAGCGTGTTAGGATCAATGAGAAAATAATAAAACGTATACGCCATATTGTGAGCTGCTGATCAAGCCTTTGACAATAAAACTGTTCGCAATGTATTTCTCACATATACGTCTCTATCAAATTCCACTTTTAGAATGAAGTGGTATTGTTCTATGTGCGATATTGATAACGGAACACTTACAAAGCATGTTGAGCACTTCAAATCGGTACATACTCTCGATAGACAACTTTCAATTATGTGTGGCATCTGTAATGTTGAATTTGGATCCGTAAAAAGTTTTCAAACTCATTGTTACAAATTTCATAAAAACAATCTAGAGGGAGAAACTACTGTGACAAATAATGAAGTAAGTAGTGGTGAACAGGATGATGTGGTGACTATGGATTGTAATAGTAGCGGAGATATCGATGCAGAACAAATAGATGATCTTATGAATGATGCGTCGGTGTTACCGAAAGAAGGTAACTTTTTCTAAAAACGTTTCTAAAATACTCCGTTACATGTAAAGATTCACTTTTAGACACAAACGGAGTACAAGCATTAGAAAAACGCATTCTTCATATGTTGATTACATTACAAGTGCGATACTTCGTGTCAGAAGCATCTGTGAACTATGTTGCTCGCTCTTTATCGCATATTTTTGAATTTGCCGGTTCCTGTCAGCCCGTGCGTTAATTCGATTATCTCTTCTCCGTGATTTATCTATTGTTTATTCTAGGATTTAAAAATAACATCTCTTTTGCTAGAACGGTTCGTCAAACCAGATTTTCGTTTAAAAAAAGCCACTGAATATTTTAATTACATCGCTCCAGTACCCAAATCTTACGCGGTATGGAGCTTTCTCTATCTAGAGAAGCGAACCCAATACCTCTCGCTTCTCTTTAGGTTACTACTGAAACATATAAACATGGGCAACGTGTGACAGAGGGAAAAAAAGTCAAATATTGTTATGTTCCATTTTACGAAAGCTTGAGTAATTATTTACAACTGCCAGAAGTACAGATAGATCTAAACCGTAGAATACCTCCTCATGATCCGAAAAACATACATGATTTCTACGGTAGGCTATGAAAAAATATTTATCGTTATGTACTTACTAATATTTCTTTATATAACAATTCAGGTGGATCTTTCTGTATGAATCATCCACAATTCAAAAACGAAAATTATCTAAAAATTGAGCTGAACAGTGATGATCTGAACATTAGCAACCCAGTTGGGAATCGTGTTCACAAAATTTTTTTTTTCTATTGGTCCCTGTTGAATATATCCAGGCATCATCGTTCCAAACAGGCAGCCAAACGATTAATTAGCGCCTGCCCGAAATATGCGTTAAATTATGATGGGTTATACAACACAACACTTGACTTTATTACATCAATACGAAAGCTATCAACAACAGGTATCATGCATTCTAAATATTACATGACTTTTGTACCGAATTTTTTTAGGCATTGAGGTGGACATTAATGGGATCAAAAAACAATATTTCGGTGATTTATTTTTCACTCTTGGTGATTTTCCTGCGTCGACATCTTTACATGGGTTCAAAGAAAGTGTCTCAGCGCAACATTTTTGTCCTTTATGTGATGTCACTAAAGGTAAAACAGAGTTTGCTGATAAAATTATGATATGAAGCATTTGTTGCAGATTGTTTTGAACGCGATATCCTCTATGATTTTCCATGTATCACTCTTAACGAGTATCGAACACGATGTAAAGAATTAGAAGAATTAGATCGATACAATACAGCGTTTGCATATTTTTCTAAACGCTTTGGTATCAACAACAGAAGTTTATTCGATGAATTACAACTATTTGACGTAACCGTACAATTATTATTCGATCCAATGCACGTTCTATTGGAAGGAATAGTAAAAAACCATTTACACGCGTTTATCGATTACTGTGTGACAAACAATTTATTTTCAATGAAAGAATTTTGTGACAACGTCAACAAATTTCAGTACAACAAAAGTGAGTCATCGCACAGACCTCATCTTGATCTCGCTATTGGCGCTTTACGGAACAGATCCGATGATCTGCCATTATCGAGTATGCAGACATATGTCCTTCTCTGTAATTTACCTTTCATTCTCCGAATACTATCAACACCAACGAATTCTGCCAATTATCGGGCAATTTTATCGCTGTTGGACATTGTTGACTTATGTTTCGCGACCGATGTTCAAGATACAACACCAACATTATTGAAGCGGTTAATTTCGTTTCACAACAAACAATTCAGATTGCTTTATCCGGGCAAGATGAAACCAAAATTTCATTTTCTGACGCATTTTCCGAGACAAATGGCTTTGTTTGGCCCATTGAGGTGAGCTAATCGTAACCCAGCATCTTTTTTACTCATTCTTGCTCTTGCTTAGATACATCAACTGTCTTGCATCGGAAAGAAAACATCAGTTTTTCAAAGCCAACAAGTCAAGAAATT